TTTATCTTCATAAGTTTCTGGTAGCTGTTTGTGTCGTTCACTGAAGTCACTCCATTGTGCCTCGAAATATTCCAGTCGTTTTAACAAGTATTCTTGATTTTTTCTGTCTTGACTATCTTTCTTCTAGTTAGAGCAGTGAGTTTGATGCTATTAAAATACTGTTTTTTGAAGTTGCAGCTTAATTATTAGTTGAAGTATTTAGTTGATTGTAGTAATAAGTTGAAAAAAGAGAATGCGAAGTTTGTAGCTCGGTGTTCTTGCACGTAGTTGACGGTGGCAGATTTAAAGCTTGTTGTGTAGTACGTGATAGGATTCCTCTGCGATGTGTGCGCACTCTCAATTGTTCTGGTGATTCCCTGTTCAGGGAGGCCAGTCAACAGATTCGCTACCGCAGATTTATCACTGATCACACACTGTAACACTTCCCTTTTGAATTTTTACTCAAATGACCATGGAATGTGTGGTTTGCATGGCCCTACACTTTCTAGAAGTAGAGTTGAAGTTAGTTGATGAGCACGTCAAAAGGAAAAGATCACCAAAGTTTAAAAGGTTATTGTGGCAAATCTTTCCTTGTGTAGTAAGTGTTTAGTAGGACGGTTGTTGACGTAATATAATAAAATGATTACTAATCCAACATGCGCTCTGAAAGTAGGTCGCAACGTGAGCGCAAAATAAAGTTGAATGTACGACTTGCCCGTACACTTGTAATCTATATTGAAAAATATATTTTAATAGTTAGTAGGCTTGTTACTAACTATGCAGTCAACCAGAAATGTATGTAGGTACTCATTTCTTTGTACCGTAAGAAAGCTTGTGTAATTGCTGGTTGTAAGGCATTTCATCATCCCCCGCAGTTAACTATGTATTTGTAGCCTTTTATATATTTGCAACAGATGGCGAAGTTTAATGGCTGAGAAATATTTTTGTTATAAAAATGTATAATATTCACATATCCACTACATTTTTACTTATAGTTGTTATGTAAGTGCGTTTTTTAGGTTTTTAGGTGGAACTTTTATTTAAGCTGATTTAACGCTATGGCGCTATAAGCATTATGTTTTGTAGGAGCTTCACTATATTTAAAAATAAAAATATAAAAAATATATTAAAAATAAATTCGTTTCAAGAGTTTATTTTTTGAGTATAATCTTGTTTAAAACGTTTTTGCTTTTACAAATATGAGTTTAATTCTTATCTTCGGTTCATAATTTTTTTTCGGGGATTCATTTTAGATTTTAATGTATGCGCATATTTAAAACATATTCACAGGTACGTTAAAAGGACCTTTTGATATCTTTACATTGAAAAAAAAAAACAAATTTACATGATCTGTTTTTGTATTCATTTTTGTAGCGAAAAATAAAATTGCAGCTGGGACTCTTTCCAATTTGAACAAATCACTTACTTAACGTGTGCAATACTACTCGACGTGTACTCGATGTGTAACGTAGAATATTCAACGGAAAATTAAAACCTAATACAATCAACGTTAATAATACGTAGCTTTTAAAAAAATTACGCTCCTTTTGTAAATATTGCAAGTAACTTTCGTGTTTATTTAAAATATATAATACTATTTGAATACTGTATATATATATACAGTAATTCAAAGGGCATAGAATTTAACAATCAAATATCAAATTTTAACTGTTTAGCAATTATTTTTAAGTGCTGTCGCACGTTTATGGTAAAATTAACTGTTCGATCAAAAACCTCGGCTTTTGATCAAGAACCGGAAGAAGACATAGTTAATACTTAATCTTATCATCAACCTGAAAAAATCTTTTATCAAAAACCAGAACTTTTTGTGATAATATTAATGCTAAGCTTAGTTTAGGTTAGGTTTATTTCATCACAAAACTCAATCAGTCTATTTTTTTGATAAAAAAACTGGATTTTCTCAGTTTTATGATAACAGAAATAGTCATTTTGAATTCTTCCAATTTTTGATCAAAAGCCTAAGATCAAAAACTAGGTTTTATCATAAACTTGCGACAGTGCAGTAAAAACTTTGCTCTCCTATCTATCTATATACTTTTTTAATAGAAGGTAACAAACGTTCTCACAGTCCACCTGATGATGATGAGTAAGTGGATCCTGGAGACCATAGACACATACATCTTTCCTCATTTCAAATTTAAAATGCAGATTTGTTGCCACATCTGACGGCTAAGACGACTGGAATTCCTCGTTTCTAGTAAAAAGGGTCTCCGGATCACGACACTCACCACATGAAATAAATTAAGAATCATAATAAAGATGCGTAGTCACGCCTGAGGACTAAGATGGAATGCCGAGATTACGGTGAAAAGGGTCTCCGTTTCTCTAAACTCACCATACAACACACAGCAGCATTGAGCTGCTATTAACGCCGGTATTCTGTGACAGCGTGGTCCTTCCATGGTTAAGCCGACCCATTCTTGCTTCATCTATAATATAGCTGCAGCAGGACTCTACCAAGTATATAATATAGCCGTTGCATAGTTCTACCTATTCAACATCAACATCGATCATTCCGATCATTTGATCTCTCCGTGGCGCAGTGGCTTAGCAATGAGTTGCAGCGCTAAGGGCCGCGGGTTCGAATCCCGCACGGAACAAGTATTTTTATGGCCTACAAATAATTGTTCTGAGTCTCGGTGTTTGTGCTTGTGAAATCTATGTATGCAAAATAGCCCAGGAATGATACAGGAAAAAATCCTAGCGTGAAGGTAACGTGTTTAAAAAAAATAGTCGTTAGTTTATTCCCCTTAGGGGGGACATGAAATGAATTTTCCGAGTGCTTTGAATTAATAATATATACGGACGTCCGATAATTATAATATAAGCACCCCAAAAGCCTTTTTACAAATAAAATAATTTGGCTTTTAATATTAAAAATTCACACTTTGCTTAAAAGCCCTTTTCCACATATCTAGTTGAAATATGTGTTACGTAGGACTATTCCAAGTGTTTGTGTACAGCATTAAACTGTTTGCTTATTAAACAGAAAAAGTGACAAATAATATCACACAATGTCCATAACATTTTCGTTCTAAATTGTTTGAGTCGAGGTGCTTAGGTGCGAAGCTTAGAACTTAAGTTGTATGAACAGTATTACGGTAGTAACTAAAAACAGATATAAAACCAAATAAAAGCTGGCAACGTCGCATTTACGTGCATGAGGGCACTGGACTTCAAAATGTCGACGCAATATATAAATCGTGATCGATATATGCAAGAAGCGAAGAATACATTATCGAGGCGCAACTGCAAAAAGAATATTGCGGAAAATAATGTTATAAAAAAGTGAAATACATCACTGAGTAAGAAATCAAAAAACTAAGCAATATTCGCAGCGAGATGATAAAAAAATGTTAGCCGAATGCCGGGACGTCGAAACATTGCACTATGTGCACAACACACAATTATAACTACGAGTATAATACTATAGGAATGTGGTTCCTAATGTGCGTAAGATGTAAATATATATATATATATATATATATATATATATATATATATGTATATATATATATATATATACATCCAACAACACTAGCCGTTGTGCACATAGTGCAATGTTTCGACGTCCCGGCATTCGGCTAACATTTTTTATCATCTCGCTGCGAATATTGCTTAGTTTTTTGATTTCTTACTCAGTGATGTATTTCACTTTTTTATAACATTATTTTCCGCAATATTCTTTTTGCAGTTGCGCCTCGATGATGTATTCTTCGCTTCTTGCATATATCGATCACGATTTATATATTGCGTCGACATTTTGAAGTCCAGTGCCCTCATGCACGTAAATGCGACGTTGCCAGCTTTTATTTGGTTTTATATCTGTTTTTAGTTACTACCGTAATACTGTTCATACAACTTAAGTTCTAAGCTTCGCACCTAAGCACCTCGACTCAAACAATTTAGAAAGAAAATGTTATGGACATTGTGTGATATTATTTGTCACTTTTTCTGTTTAATAAGCAAACAGTTTAATGCTGTACACAAACACTTGGAATAGTCCTACGTAACACATATTTCAACTAGATATGTGGAAAAGGGCTTTTAAGCAAAGTGTGAATTTTTAATATTAAAAGCCAAATTATTTTATTTGTAAAAAGGCTTTTGGGGTGCTTATATTATAATTATCGGACGTCCGTATATATTATTAATTCAAAGCACTCGGAAAATTCATTTCATGTCCCCCCTAAGGGGAATAAACTAACGACTATTTTTTTTAAACACGTTACCTTCACGCTAGGATTTTTTCCTGTATCATTCCTGGGCTATTTTGCATACATAGATTTCACAAGCACAAACACCGAGACTCAGAACAATTATTTGTAGGCCATAAAAATACTTGTTCCGTGCGGGATTCGAACCCGCGGCCCTTAGCGCTGCAACTCATTGCTAAGCCACTGCGCCACGGAGAGATCAAATGATCGGAATGATCGATGTTGATGTTGAATAGATAGAACTATGCAACGGCTATATTATATACTTGGTAGAGTCCTGCTGCAGCTATATTATAGATGAAGCAAGAATGGGTCGGCTTAACCATGGAAGGACCACGCTGTCACAGAATACCGGCGTAAATAGCAGCTCAATGCTGCTGTGTGTTGTATGGTGAGTTTAGAGAAACGGAGACCCTTTTCACCGTAATCTCGGCATTCCATCTTAGTCCTCAGGCGTGACTACGCATTGGGGTGGGCCACCAATGTATGGAGAAAAAAAAAAAGTTCTTTTCTTTTTACGTAATAGCACAAAAAAGGTGCCTTATTATGTACTTATTGCACATGCAAAAAATCAGAATGATTGGATATCATCTTTAGCCTCCGGATTGATTTTGAAATTAAGTAAAATTAAGAAAATTTGACTTTAAGCTAAGTACTAAATACAATGTAAATTATGTTAAAAAAATATTTTTTAAATTGAAAACACACGCTTTAGGAACATATTTGTTTATTATTACAAAGAAATGCGTAAAAAGTAAAATACACTTATTTATACTTATTTTTTTAGTTAACCCTAAAATCTTGTTTGCTCTCGAATTTTGGCATATTTTTGCAAGACTCTATTTGTGCTCTAATAAAGCCTTCTCTTGCAGTTTTGCTACATAATGTATTTGCTGCTTGGGTTACTGTCTTGACTGATCGCTCCACGGCTTGCGTATGACATGGCAGGCGTAGAAGAGGCAGTTCACCTTCACCTCTCTGTGAAATGAATAACTGCAGGTCTTCGTCATTCAAACTCTCGAGAATGGGGGGGCTGGGTAATGTTATTCTGCCAGTCAATCAAGTCGACGTAAAATGATGCATCTAATTTAAGGGCAGGAACTTTAAAAAGTCTTAATTTTGTTTGAGGAACGGTACGGGCTTTCAGGATACGACGTGCGGCTAACTCTCGAATATGTTGTTGCGAGTCTATCAACATTGCCAGTAATAAGTTCTCTGGATGAGCGAAATATCCATTCCTTATAATTACTGGATCTATTACAGCTTTTAGCTCTGCTGTGAGGTATCTAGAAGCAGAAATGAGCTTATACAGATGTCGCGCTCCATCCTTACAGCTGGGGTGAGTCTTGATAGAGAACCAAGTCGGAGCGTAAACCTTAACAACGTAAGTTGCTAAGATCACCAACTCTTTAGGCGCGGATTTTGTCGGAATATAGAGCCGCAGAATCCGATTAGCCCGGGTAAGCCACCTAGCATGGGACATCTTTCCAGGTGACTTGTTTGCTAAATCTTCGGGAAGCACGCCGGTCGAGACAGCAGACGTAATACTGTACAGGTAACACTGGTCTGTGCTGAGATCTTGGGCTTTCAATTGTGGTAACTCCGACGGTATTGCCTGATACTTTACAACGGGTTTCTTTTCACAGTTTTCTGTTTTCCGATTTTCCCCGCAAAAGTATTCGGTCCCGTTGTAGCGCCATCAATATGCTCGAATAAATGCCGCAGTGGCAGTTCGTTCATATGTAGTAAGCAAACAATCCATTGCAGAGGCTTTTTTAATTGTTTTTCTATTAAACGTATGACACCTCCATAGTTTCCAACGTTTACATTTGTCCCATCGCATCCAATAGCCAGTAAATCACCCATAGATATGTTTTCATTTAAAAAGTAGTCCGTAATTGCCTTTACTATATCTTTAGAAGTTCCCGAGCTTGGTGTAACGTGACCCAAGTAAATAGAGCCTGGTTCCTTAATAAGTGAAATATGTTCCTCCCGTATCGTCCTTCTGTAATATTTCCCTCCTTTTCTTGTCATTATGAGAGTTTTATCTTTTCGGCCATCAAAATATAATGCGGGTATTTGTTGGGGTTTGTCTTTAGATATTATGGTTTTTCGTGTTTTGCTTCTCCCCCGGCGCAATTTTTTTTGTCAATTACTGGGGCAGCCGTGTCTGTAGTTTTCAAAACTACTGAAGCAATAGTAGCTCCTGCCCTGTCGGATATTCCAAACCTGTCACATGTCTTCGAAAGCGCAGAAAAATCCATATCCTGGTATGTCTTCTCTTGCTGAGACGTACCTGGCTCCTCGAACACTAAGAAGTCATCACAATCAGTTTCGTCGGTGATTGAAGACGAAGAAGAAATAAGTTGTAGGTCTATGGATACTTCGACTCGTTCCAATTGATTTTTCTGTGCGGATTGCTGCTTAGAAAATTTTCTTTTCAATGTCTTTCTGAGTTGATTTGTAGTAGCAACGTCGACATTTCCTATTATCATTTTTCTAGAGGTACGTTGATCAATCAGAAAATCACGTTCAGCAGTAGGTACTTTTCGTTCCTTAGAGCAGGTGCAAGCGCTCAAGTCCTTGCATTTGCAGGAACAAATGTCGAAGAGAGCTTTGTTGTCGCGCTGAAACGTGTCAATGTTTTTCTTAGGTATTTTGGGGTGGGATTTGAGAAAGTTTTTGTACTTAATGTGATAAGATTTTAGCATTTGACATACTCTTACATGTGTCACAGTTGGTAGCGACGCTTTCAGCCAAATCTCTTAAATTTTTTTAGTCACTAACTCTGCGATTTCGAAAAATGATGGCTCTTTCTGGGAATTATTATTAAGCTTGACTTGCCTTCTCGTCCACTCGTAGTATTTGATGACATCTTCATATGTTGGCAGCATATTGAGTTTAATATCATATAATTCACCAAGCAGTGGACATTTATAACACTTTCGAGTACGTTCAATTGTGACACAAAGCAAAACGCGACCTCTAACCTCAAAAGCCGCAGCGCCACTGATGCGAAAAAAATAACGCGCCAAATGCAAACTCCGCTCCCCACCCCCTCATCTCACGCCGTTGGTTATTATTAGTGATACGTTTGGTATTACCCTAATAAAATTTGATTATATTTCCTATTGAAAAACACTTTAAACTTCGTAAAACTTCAATTAGAACGTTTTTTTACTGGGTTGCGAAAACACGTCTTAAATCATATTTTTCCAAAATTTGAAAGTCAATCCGGAGGCTGTTACCTAAAACAGAATTTGAAAATACTTCATAAATACTAGTTCTAACCCATAAGGCACCTTTTTATCGCTATTACGAAAAGAACATGGAAAAAAAATTTTTCGGCCCACCCTACTACGCATCTTTATTATGATTCTTAATTTATTTCATGTGGTGAGTGTCGTGATCCGGAGACCCTTTTTACTAGAAACGAGGAATTCCAGTCGTCTTAGCCGTCAGATGTGGCAACAAATCTGCATTTTAAATTTGAAATGAGGAAAGATGTATGTGTCTATGGTCTCCAGGATTCACTTACTTGTGCTTAGGTGCGAAGCTTAGAACTTAAGTTGTATGAACAGTATTACGGTAGTAACTAAAAACAGATATAAAACCAAATAAAAGCTGGCAACGTCGCATTTACGTGCATGAGGGCACTGGACTTCAAAATGTCGACGCAATATATAAATCGTGATCGATATATGCAAGAAGCGAAGAATACATCATCGAGGCGCAACTGCAAAAAGAATATTGCGGAAAATAATGTTATAAAAAAGTGAAATACATCACTGAGTAAGAAATCAAAAAACTAAGCAATATTCGCAGCGAGATGATAAAAAATGTTAGCCGAATGCCGGGACGTCGAAACATTGCACTATGTGCACAACCGCTAGTGTTGTTGGATGTATATATATATATATATATATATATATATATATATATATATATATATATATATATATATTTACATCTTACGCACATTAGGAACCACATTCCTATAGTATTATAGTTATAATTACTAAGTTAGTTTCCTCACCTATACTACTAGAAATTCGTATTTGGCAAACAGATCTTCTGCTCAAATTGAAAAATCGACATATTTAATATTTATTCGATTTATTATAACAACGTAAACAGCTCCTGACCGTGTTGGGGCGGTGTAAGTATATCCACTACCACCTATCGTCTCATGGGTGAAAACTTTAATATATGGAGGCAGAAATAGGTAAGAGGGTGGTTCCTACCCGGACCGACTAATAGGAAAAAAGAAATCCTAAAGTGCTATGACCTTCGTATTTCATAAAAACAATAGTAGGTATATAACTGCATTAAAGTTTATAGGTACATATTTCAAAATAAAAACCAGTAATATTGCTTTATTTTATAAGATTAGAGAGAAGACATTTATGTCTCAACGTTTTAACAGGATTCGGTAGTAGTCAGTTTTCCAGTAAATTTTCACCAGTTAGTTTACTTCATTTTAAAACATATACATAATGAGGCGTATTCTTATTATGATTACTCAAAAAAAAAATTACCGGTATACTCAATAGTACTTTGAGGGTGACTTTAAAGTTTATTATTAATAACTTTCAACACAATGTTTATTAAAAATCATACAAAATCGTATCATACAAATCAGTATGCTGAAGTGATAATGACTGGTCATAGCTTGAAGAACCGACAACTGATTAGAAATAAAGGTTCTCGAGTGGCAGTATTGTACGAAGTGTAGGTCAAGCCCCTGCTAGGCGGAGTGACAACTTGACAACTTGTGGACTCGAGTCCCCCTGACTGAAGATATTTGTGAGAAAGCAACAGAGATTGAATATATATGTACGACATACTACTAGAGGTTGATCGCATTACATTTTGTGCAAATCATATCACTATCATATTATATCGAAATTCAGTATCAAATTTCAACTCCTGCATCTTGCTATTGTAGGTACATAACTGCATATGGATATACTCTGTGGATGCAGCTGAAATCGGAGATTTATTAACTTACTCATATTTATAAGACCGCTAGAAATTTGTCCTGTACCTTGGGGACAAGTTACATCGGAGAATGGTTCCGTTCGCCGTGTTACATACATATTTATATTGTACATGGACAAATACCCAGTTCCCGAAAAATTATTAATAAGCCTTATAAAATAGGAGTTCCATACGGGATTTGTTTGGCCTGCCGTCTGTCGCGCCGCAGTCGAAATCAGCCACTGAGCTACCGAGATGTCAACAAATAAATGTGCATTCTTTACTCACAGAATATGTCTATTTTTATAAATACTCAGTGCTTGAATCAATTCCAGCTGGTAGTAAATGGTGAGAAGCTCAAGATAGTAAATCATACTGTCTTAGCGTAACACAAGCCTTTGCACTCTTGCTTTGAAGGTATCCATATTGTAATCGTACGGAAATATAGACGCCGGCGAATCATTTAGCCACTCTTTTGGTGTACGCATTACGAAAGATGAAACAAACAGTTTGGTTTTAATGCGTGGAATATCGACAAGAAAGGGGTGAAGACCCGCCGACCATATTGTATGGAAATAAATATATTATTTGTCTGTTTTGTACAGTTTTATGCTATACAATAAAAATATGTATATTTTGTAATATTACAATAACTTCAACGTTAAAAAAATCTTTTGTATGGGTCACATATTACTTATTACTGTTATCTATATTAGTTTGATATTGCTCGTGCTCGCTCTTACTGTGGCGGTAGTAAGAACAGGTAGTAAGAAGCGACAGATGGAAAACCTAGAGATTAGAGATGGGTAGCAGCGTCTTCCTATTAACAACTACAGATTATTACTGTATCCATCAGACCGATCGTATCAAACGAATTTTAGAATTATTTTTATACTAAGTCAAACAAGTCAGCAGTCAAGCATTAACCCTTCGGTAATGACAACACAATTTCTCGCAGGGCAACAATTACAATATAAGCCGATATTTAACGGGTCACCGATCAATGAATGTAACAGCGTTAGCTGTGCGTGTCATCCGCAATTTGTATGTCGTTAAACTTGTTTAGCTAATCAGGAAAAAGTGTATAATATTAAGCGTTCTTATTGTTGCGACCAGAAACAGTAATAGAAACATTTTTATTCAATATTGATTATATATAATACTTAATGAAAGACACTCTTTGGTTTAATTCCCACTGGTTCGGAAAAAAAACCTCTGTCCTGGGAAGAACCCGCAAGAAACCCAGCGGGACTTTTAAATAATTTTAAATTTTAAATTTTGTACAACCGACTTCTATATGGGACCACATCTGAAGCACCAGCTTTCAAATAAAGAAAAGAATCATCGAAATCGGTTCACCCAGTAAAAAGTTATGACGTAACACACATAAAAATAAAATAAAAACATACAGTCGAATTGAGTACCGGCTCTTTTTGAAGTCGGTAGAAAAAATAACAGCTTACAATCATGTATATTACACAATTAACAACACAAAGCAAATTAGAATGAGCTTGGTAGCGATCACCTTTATCCGCAGGGGTAATTATCATCCATAAATTACTTAATAATATAATAACCTTTTTTATACAAACTTTAATAAAGTTTTTGAAC